TTTTTTTTTTTTTTTTTTTTTTTTTTGCTGGACTTTTGAATAAGTAGGAACACTGTTGAACCATGTGGAAATGGCATCCACTATGTTAGTCAATGCTGGTAGCTCAATTGGTGTCATTTTGTTAATCTCCTTGCCTTTTGCTTATTTTGTGAAACGTTTCTCATAAGGATTGTGTTTACTCCAATGCTGCTTGCTCAAATATTGCTTAGATGAGATGCTGCTTTCTGCCCGCGCACAAAGTAACTTAATACTATTCACTTACAGCTGGATCCTTGTTCCTTTTTGATCGGAAAGCACTTAGATATTTTCGTAAAGATGGTCATAAATGGAGGAAGAAGAAAGATGGAAAAACTGTCAAAGAAGCCCATGAAAAGTTGAAGGTGTGCTGTTCAATCTGATGGTTGTAAGTTAACTTTTTCCCCTATGGTCATGAGTGATGGGGGGCACTTGAACACGTTGATTTTTCAGGTCATGAACGTTAGATTGATTTCCATATACCCGTGTCAATACTCCTGTAGTGAGTTGTAAGTGTCCCCAAAATATTATAGGAAGGTGAACGCAAATATGTTTTCTTGATATGTAGAAGCTTGAGTACTTGATTTGTACTTTTAACAAATTAGTACTATTATTATTATTGCTGTTGTTGTTTTTGTTTCTACAAGAAATGAGAACTTCTCATTGATCATTGAAAAACTGAATTCTAAGCACTCCAAAACTAAAATTATAAAGTACCTCTAAAACCCAAAACCAAAATTAAGAATTACATGCAACAAGAAGGAATCTGATTTCAAAAAGATTTATGATAGCATTCCAAGAAGCTGCATAAGTCTTAAGCAAGCTTTCTTCCCAAGGAACACTTTTATTTGTGAAAAGCCTCTTATTTCTTTCAAACCAAATACCCAAAACCATGGATAAACAACAAACAAAAATGTTATGAAGAAACAAGTACCAGCATCAAAATGTGTGGATTTGGCTTCAATCGTGATATTTTTTTTTAGATGTTGCATTTTCTATCATAAAGATGAGTCCAGGTCATCTGAAAGTCATTTTCCCTCTTGGTTTTACAGTTTTTCTTTTCGTG